TGTACATGCCATAATTTCTTTGTAACATTAGAAAGCTATAATTCTTAATAGCATTTGCTACATGTGTGTCTATACACACCGTTTTACATCTTCAGTATACACTGCTTCATTCATTTGAGCTCCATGGGAGAGGGTATGTGGAAGAATTTATTTCCAATTGGGGAAGTGAGGCATTGTCTGTAAGAATTTTTATCGGGGCACACATAATTCTGGAAAAAGTGGACGCCTTAGCAGACAGGGTCCATCTGCCTTGTGCTTTATATTTCTCTAAGAATGAGCAAAGATTCATATTCCTAACAGCACAAATACTTGCAAACTTGAACTCCATTGTTTTATTTTTAGGGTTTTTTTAAGAGATGGAGTCTCACTCTGTCGCTCAGGCTGGAGTGCAGTGGTGCATTCTCAGCTCACTGCAGGTTCAACCTCCTGGGCTCAATCAGTCCTTCCACCTCAGCCTCCCACGTAGCTGGGATTCTAGGCAGAAGCCACCACACTCAGGTTTTAATGCCACAGTTTTTAGAAACTCCTATGATTCAGAAAGGAGTAATGAAAGAGAGTTACTTTTGGTATGATGTTGAGGAAATTTCTGTAATTGGGTTTAGAAATCAAAGTAGAAATTAGTTTATGATTCCATTGTATTAACACAAGTTTCATTTAGGTCTAATTTAGATTGTTGAGAGTCAGCATTACAGAGCACTTTTATATATATATACACACCACACATACATATATATGTGTGTGTGTGTATGTGTGTATATATGCTTGTGTATGTATGTGTGTATGTATGTGTATATATATGTGTGTGTGTATGTATGTGTGTATATATGTGTGTGTGTGTGTGTGTGTATATATATATATATAAAGGTTTGTAACAGCAACATTGTGAAAACTAGAAGGCCTAGTCTGGATGTAATATTCAACATATCACTTTTGAGAACAGGGTTAACGGTTTGGGTTGCCTAAGATAACTTGATGTCCTTACAAACTTTTGATATTTAAACTTTTATCCTTTAAAATAATTGTAGATTCACAGAAGATAGCAAACATAGTACATAGAGTCCTATGAACCCTTCCACCCAGCTTCTCCCAGTGGTAACATCTTTTATGACTTTAGCATAACACCATGATACTTGATATTAAAAATGGTTTAAGTTCATTCCAGGTTTGTAGCAAAGGAAACAAACGGGCCAAGTAATTTCATCTGAGATGTAATTTCATCTGGCCTCCACTGTGGAAGATTGCATAGAAAAAGAATAGTGGTATATGCTCTTTTAAGATAAATAACCATTAGTCATGTAAAAGGTGGTAATTCGTGTATGCGAGAGAACTATTCATTAGTTAGAATATGGTGTAAGACTCATCTGCCTTACATTTAACGTAGTGCATGATGGTTACCGACCAAGCTGGAGTCCCCACGACTTCATATATCCTCAAAATTGTAATTGAAAGTCTTCTATATTCAGTTGCCTATAATTAATATGACAATCCTTAAGTCACATAATATGTTCAATTCTGTAGAATAAATTGCACTATTCTAAGAGATTGTGTGGCAGTTTAAAATCTAATGAGACTCCCACACATTAATATTTCAATATAAATAATCATTAGATTCACTATTTGATATCTGCTTAATTGAAATATATATAAATATTTTGACAAAGCAGCTTATCCATGTGGATGGATTTAAAAGAGCTAAGATTTCCAGTATCTTTATTTTTTTTGACTGCCTTATTAAGGTATGATTGACATCTAAAAAGCTGCACATACTTAATCTTGATGAGTTTGGGGATAAATATATATCTGTGAAAGCATCACTGTCAAGGTCATCAATATATCCAAAAGTTTTTGTGTGTGTGTGTGTGTGTGTTTTATGAAACAGGGTCTCACTGTGCCACATAGGCTGGAGTGCAGTAGTGCAAACCATACTTCACTGAAACCTCAAACTCCCTGGGCTCAAGCAATTCTCCTGCCTCACCCTTCTGAGTTCATGGGACTACAGGCACACACCACCATACCTAGCTAGTTTAAACATTTTTTTGTAGAGACAGGATCTTACTTTGTTGCCCAGGCTGATCTTGAACTTCTAGCCCCAAGCTATTCTCCTGCCTCAGCCTCCCAAAGTGCTGGGATTACAGGTGTGAGCCACCATTTCTGGTTGCTTGTTTTGTGGTAAGATCAAAATATAAGATCTGCCCTACAGATCACTTGAAGATAGGAGTTTGAGATCAGCCTGGCCAAGATGGTGAAACCCCATATCTACTAAAAGTGTGAAAATTAGCTGGGCATGGTGGCGGACGCCTGTAATCCCAGCTACCTGGGAGGATGAGGCATGAGAATCTCTTGAACCTGGGAGGCAGAGGTTGTAATGAACTGAGATTGTGCCACTGTACTCCAGCCTGTGGGACAGAGTGAGACTCCATCTCAAAAAGAAAAAAAAATAAAAAACTACCATTAACAAATGTTAAGTACACAATACAGTAGCACTATGCTCTATAGATTTCCGAAACTTAGTTTTGTATAACTGAAACTCTGTACCCTTTAACCATCGCTTCCCCATTTCCTTGTTCCCCTACCCCTGGCAACTACTAATCTACTCTCTGATTCTATGAGCTTGACTCTTTTAGATTCCACATATAAATGAAATCATATAGTATTTGTCTTTCTGTATCTGGCTTATTTCTCTTAAGGTAATACCCTCCAGGTCCATCTACATTGTTGCAAAGAGCAGGTTTTTTTTTTCTTTTTTTTTCTTTTTTTTTTAATTATAGTTTATTGAGACAGAGTTTCACTCTTGTCAGCCAGGCTAGAGCGCAATGGCAGGATCTCGGCTCGCTGCAACCTCTGCCTCCCGGGTTCAAGTTATTCTCCTGCCTCAGCTTCCCAAATAGCTGGGATTATAGGCGCCCACCACCACACCTGGCTAATTTTTGTAGTTTTAGTAGAGATGGGGTTTCACCATGTTGGCCAGGCAGGTCTCAAAGTCCTGACCTCAAGTGATCTGCCCACCGTGGCCTCCCAAAGTGCTGGGATTACAGGCATGAGCCACCGCTCTTGGCCCCAGATTTGGATATGCTAGTTTCCAATAGTAAACATGAACTGCTTTCAGGATTAACATTTAGGTACAAAGAAAAAATGTTTACCTTCTGAATGGGCACAATGAATGAAACACTATATTAACTCCTCCATTTGTGTTAAGCTCATTTTTTAAAAATACCCATATTTCTGCAAGCATAAGCATACACATATACTACATCTTTTTATGCCATATGAATTCCTATGATGGTGTTTTATTTTTGTTTTAGGGTATAGCCTAGACTATTTTTTTTTTTTTCAAGAGAATTAAATCGTTTATTGATTACACATGATAATGGATGATACACAAGCTTCATTCCCATCTATAATTTTATCTGGTACCATTATTCAATTTAGATATATTGCATAGGATGTGCCAACAATCACTTTTATAACCAATAATTCCATGATTTTGCTTGGGTAATCCCTTTTAACGGTGAACTTCAGGTCACAACAGTAACTATCAGTTCAACTACACCAAGGTTTCCGAAGACAATGGCTTCTCCACCCAAGCAGGTTGTATATAAATTCCAAATAGAACCTGGCATCACCCTGAAGGAATTCTAACTTCACACTGTTGGGGAAGTTTACCAAGATGGCTTCAGAGTAGACTAACTTTACACAGCACATTAAAAAAAAGACATTTATTCAGCGTCACGATCAGACTATTACATTTAGCAATCAACAGCATGGGTGCAAAAAAAAAAAAATCTACATTAAAACGACCGAAGTTGTCATCCCAACCGAAACCACCCCTCCACGATCGCACCACCAAAGCTTTCAGAACATTCGACCTCTTTGGCTGGATGAAGCCACTCGCCATTCTCTGCTGTTTGACAGGGCTTCGAACTTCACAGTTGTGGGCCGCATTCAGTGGTGGTCTATAGTATTTTCCTATTATCTTATCCACGCGAGTCCATGGTCGTCTATATAATATCTCTATATTGTGTCTTAAAGCCCCCTTGTTCTTTGCGCACTGCCGTCGGCTCAGCTCATTGATTTCAATCACTTCATTTCCCCATACTTTCAAAATAATCTCTTAGGTGATGTCTTCTGTGTCTCTTATGCCACCAACAAATAGTCTTTTTCACAGTTAAGTGGCACCGGGTCTTGAGAATCTTCTCTTGCAGACAGCTCTCTCTTTGGTTCCACAACTCTTCTTCCACCTGTGTGGCCCTTGGCCATTCATAGCTGCAATCCACCTCTCCAACAGTGCGCACATATGTACAAACCCAAAGCTCCTGGAACGCATGGGTTTTGGATCCCTCAATTACCACCACAGTCCGGTGAGCTGTTCCCCTATTTGGCTAAAAATTGC